TGATATAGTGGACTTTCCCATCTATTTATTCTATATGTTTCTCTTGAAGCTTTTTTCCCCCACCTAAATTGGGATGTCCCATCTCGTGACAACTAGAAACCTATTATTATGAATTCTCACCTCTCTGGTGGTTTCACAGTGCCTGGACCTTTATAGCCACTGAGATAGCTTTTTCATGGTACAGAATCACTTGACTAGCATAGAGGAGATGATTAACAACTCATGTGGCTTTTTTGGTCTTGGGTGGCATATCAGCCCAAGGCCTGGTGTTGATAATTAAAGCCTACATGAGTATATTTGCTGCCATTCCTTTGAGAATAAAAAAACCCAACAACCCTCAGCCAGTTATAGTGGTCACATAATAACTTCCAGATGTTCCTGTGATGCTGTAAGTTCTTCAAATGCACAGAATGCAGAGAGAATGCAATCTGTGTGTGCGAATCAGTAAATACCACTTATTTGTCTTAATGATCACCTCATCAAAGTAAGAAACAATATTAGGTAGGGAGGAATTGTGTGTTTAATTTTTTCTCCTCAGGAGGTTTACTGAGATTATTTAGACAAATAGGGTGTTCATAAGATTACATGCAAAGACCCTATCATTAGCCAAAGTAAGTTCTAATTCCAATATCTGTAAAGTGAACCCCCAAAAAGAAAGAGGGGGGGGGGGGGAAGAACAGGTTGAAGATCTTGGAACTCAAAGCTGAGTTTAAACTAGTGTGGAGTTTTGTTCTTTGTACGCCATATATCGCACAAGCAAGCACTTATGTAATTGCAAAGGCTTTGTGTTAAATATAGCAGCCTTTCATAACTCCCAGATTTCTGTCTTTTTGCAAAAACCAATATATTTTTAGACTTCTCATGGGTAGCCTACTATTAGCATCTTGCAAGGGCCCTGAGCCAATTTTATATGAATGGGGGACCTGTCTTCTACAACTGAAGAGGAGAGCAGGTAGTTCTCCTCTAGTCAAGCTGTTCAGTTTTAAAACAACTGTCGTTCGATAGAATAGTGTTTATTAACCTTCAGAAGTTGTGGCTACTTCATCCCTGGAAGCTTTCAAGAAGAGACTGGACAGCCATCTGTCAGAAATGGTATAGGGTCTCCTGCTTGAGCAGGGGATTGGACTAGATGATCTACAAGGTCCCTTCCAACTCTGTTATTCTATCCCAGAGGTCTCCAAACTTGGCAACTGGCTGGCTGGAGAATTCTAGGAGTTGAAGTCCACAGGTCTTAAAGTTGCCATAGCTGGTTGGAGAATTCTGGGATTTGAAGTCCACAAGTCTTAAAGTTGCCAAGTTTGGAGAGTTCTATTCTATCCCTACAACCTTGACAGCTTTAAGATGTGTGGACTTCAACTCCCAGATTCCCCAGTCAGCCAGATACCTTAAAGCTTTTAATGTTCAAAAATACTACACAAGGAACATAGAAACAGAAAAACTAAACAGAAAAACTCTTGTTTGAAACCAGAACTACTAAAAACCCCTTGATCTGAGTAGTGAGAGTATAAAATTCTGCAGCAAAATTTTTGTGGCAAGAGTTCATAATTTTCAGCAGCTTTAGTGAAACTTCTTTTTACTCTCCTTTAGTTTCCCTTTTGATACCTATTCTAATTATTGTCTGATCAAATATATTAGTCAGTGTTAGATTTTTACAACATTATACATTATACAAAAAATATTCATGAGCCTTCAGAGCAGTCCTATACATATGGCATTTGTTGACTTCCTTTTTGGTTCTTTCTAGACAACTCTGGAACAAACTGGAGATCTTGTCCATTCATAGGTGCATCCTGACGTTCCTTATTAAAATGTTGCATGATAATACCTGTATCTAAAATAGGTTTGACAACTAAGATCGTTTTTCTGCTTTGTTGCCCATTTCCAGAGTATTGGACAAGGATGCATTTTAAACCATTTCCTATTTAATTTTTTTGTATCCATTTTATGGTGGCAAAAGTCACAAAACTGGAGCATTTCCTGGCAGGGCTGGTGGATAGACCTATTATTTCTATATGCAGATTATGAAACCAATTTCTCAGTTTAAGCTCTTGGACTGTGGAGAGCATTAGGCCGGTCTGCCTCCCGTTGCTCAGATAATGACCCAGTTATTAACTATAAATTATGCTCCCCCCCAAAGCGACCATAAATACGAATGGCAAAATAACAGGAATGTTAATTGAACAGGTTAAGGCCTTTGATTATCTTGGAATTATTTTTCATGCAACAACCCTAAGTCCAGCTTTAAAAGAACTGGTAAAAAGCCACAGCTGCCATATTAAAGTCTTTCCATATAACAGGAGGTGATTATATACCAGCTGAACTAAAAGTGTTTGAAGTTTAGAGTACTTCATTTCTTATGGGTGGTCCTTGCTTAATTACCATTAATGTATGACTGAAGTTACAGTGGCACTGAAAAAAAGAGACGTGCAACTGGTCTTTGCACTTATGACCATCACAGTTTGCTGTTAAAGGTTGTCATTTGCAACCTTCCCAACCAGTATTTGGCAAGTAAAGTAAATAGGAAGCTGGCACAACATCACAAGTTGTGATCAGATGATGCCTTGCTTAATGACTAAACCAGTGGTGGGATTCAAATTGTTTTACCATTGGTTCGGGTGGGCGTGGCTTGGTGTGCTTTGCCTAACGCACCCTGGCAGCTTCCCCCACACCCAGCTGAGGCCTGTAGCGCCAATCGGCTGAAAGGATAAAGAAGAGAAAAGCTCAGGAGCAGGTGGGAGGGACAACCCTGCGCTTTTCTCTTCTTTTTCCTCTCAGCTGATTGTCGGAGGCTTTTTTTACTACCAGTTTGGCTGAACCAGGCTAAACTGGTAGCATACCACCACTGGACTAAACCAGGATTGCTGGAACTGCCATTGCTAAGCAGGGCGGTCATGTGGGAATTCATGTAATGGCCGCTTCACTCAGCAACTGAGTTCCCAGTCCCATTTAGGGCTGTGAAACAAGAACTACCAGTATGTGCCTATAAGGACATGGAATCGTTAGAAGCTGTTCGATCAGGATTTCTATGGAACATTTTGGGACTCTCTGTGCAACCCAAACACAATTGATTGCCCGGAGATGGGAGGACAGAGCATTGTTAGCTATTGGTTTATATTATTTTCAAATCAAATAGTTCGACTGCTCTGACTCTCAGATAAATAGCAGCCTTCCTAGTGAAAATTATTTCTTTTTCCCTTACTTGCACCAATCCCAATGGTTACATCAGGGGTCTGCAACCTTGGCAACTTTAAGACTTGTGGACTTGAGTTGAAGTCCACAAATCTTAAAGTTGCTAAGGTTGGAGACCCCTGGCCCGGATAATTCTTTTAACAATGTGATGAGCGATTGACTTTCAAAATGCCTTACTTTATCCTAGAGAGACCAAAATAACAACAACAAGAAGTCCTTATTATATATTGCTGCAGTGCCTTTTTATAGATCTATTCGTGCTATATGAGTATTTTTCCAATCTCAACACGATATTTAGAGAGGACTGAGGATGACTAAGTCTCCTACCAACTAATCAGGAGGTGGAGATTTCAGGAAGTAAAGCCAAACTGAGTATCCTGACTATGATGTATTATAAATAGTTTCAGAGGAGGTGTTGCTATATTATCTTAATATAATGTTGTATATCCTTTGGTATATTACTTTAGCTGTATTTGAATTCCCATGTACTTATTTTATTAATAATTTTAAAGTTTTTCTATGGTGATAAGATAAAAAAAACATTTAAACAATTTATTAAGTAAGTCAAAGAACTGTTTATTTTTCACAAATGTCTCAAACATGCTATTTCAGGCTTTTCTGAGGGGACAATTTCTGCCTTCTGAGGGGTACAAAATGGCAGCTGCCAGTTCTGCCCCTGTACTCCCAACCTCCCAATGGTGGGATTCAAATTTTTTACTACTGGTTCTGTGGGTGCGGCTTGGTGGGCATGGCGTGGCTTGGTGGGCCTGACTTGGTGCGCCTGACTTGGTGGGTGTGGCAGGGGAAGAATACTGTAAAATCTCCATTCCCTTCCCCCCCCACCACTAAAAAAGACCCAGCCGATTAGCTGAGACTCGGGCAGCAGAGAATAGATGGGGGCGGGGCCAGTCAGAGGAGGTATTTGCCGGTTCTCTGAACTACTCAAAATTTCCGCTAACGATTCTCCAGAACTGGTCAGAACCTACTGACTACCACCTCTGTTGACCCCATCCCATTTAGGATACCTATGTTGACTATGGAGTTATAGGAAATGCAGTCCCACCATAGGAGAGTATTAGGTTGGGGGAAGATATGTTAGATATTAGGAACTCTGCTTGGTAAACAGGAACAGGTTAATTTCTACTGGTAAGAGAAACAACTTGGTATCGTGGTTAAGCTATTAATTAGGCTCAGGGAGATCCATGTTAAAGGCCATCTTCATCCATGAAAATTCATTGATGTTTTTGGACCAGTGAATCTCTCTCCTCCCTCCCCCTCTCCCTCTCCCCCTCTCCTCCTCTTCCCCTCTCCCTGTCTCTCCCTCCCACCTCACTCCCCCAAAATCTACCTTGAAAATTCGTGTCTATGGATATCAAAGGGAGAATTCCATATAAGTCATTCTGAGAAATGGTGTAAATATAATAAATAAAATAAAGCAAATCCCAGCTGAAAGATATTAGATTAGAAAAGGATATTCTGGTTTACATTTTAGGGATGATTAAGTATTGAAATTAAAGAGAAATTCTCAGAGTAGCAGTCTAGTAGACTGCAGTTATTTCTGGGACTAACCAATGATAAAATGGAATTTCAGTCTTGTACACAGTTCTATCTCCATCAGTCCTCAAAGTTCATTCTATGAGAGACTCTTTGGGCTCAAATAATATTGCTGACTGAATTTACTAAACATTCTGCTTCTGAAGGCAGATTATGCAGAGTAAAATAAATATTGTCAACATTTGTACTATGAAATGAATTTCTTGGTATTAATGCTAAAATGTACTTTGGTTTCTTCATAGGTAACAATTCCAAATATGAAGACTCTACTTCTCCTTATCAGTGTTCTTGGACTAGCTGTTGCTTCTCCTGTAAGTGAATTGAACTATAACAAAAATTAACTATAAGGATCAGATGATGTAGTGATCTACTAGATGTAGTAGACAGTTTAAATAAGTCTGATGATCAAGAAACTAGATCCAGAGCAAAGCTACAAAATGGCTTGTTTAGAAAAATCCACTGGAAAATGGAAAATAAGTTTCTGGGGAATTGGTGAAAACCATGTTAATTCATAAACTCTGCAAGGCAATTAGTTCTAGACTTGAACAAATTTGAAATCCTGATTCACACATTCTGAGTCACCCAAAATTCACATGCTTGCAATAAGAATGTTTGCTTATGTTCTTTGTAGTTATGGACATGCTGACTAGGACTTCTGGGAATGATAATGACTACATATCTAAAATTTGGGAAATTGCTATATTGACAACAGGTGGCTTTGTGGCACATAATAACTGATTAGGTCTCATCCTATGTTTTGCAAACATTTTTGGGAAAAAAAACATGAGTACTAATACAAGACTAAAAATTTAGCTTTTCTTCTTACTTCACTGGCTGTTCCATGTTAGTGGTCATGGAACAGTATCATTCAGCAGATGTTAAGTAACCTGTCATAATGGAGATGGTTTTATGCCACTCCTGTGTTGACTGGTTAACACTGTTTTCTGTCCATCCCCTAAAATGGAGGTAGACAACTTGTGGCCCTTCAGCATAGGAAGTTCCTCAGAACTTCCTTTCTGGTGGAGCAGTCTGAAGCAGTTTCACAGATTACCTTACACTGAAAATCTGTGGCACAGTATTGGAAAGAATAAAAAAATGAGAAATAAATTAGAAATAAATAAATCTATCTATCCTACATAGCATTAGTGCTTAAGCTTATATACTACTTCATAGTGCTTTAAAGCCCTCTCTAAGTGGTTTACAGAATCAGCATATTTCCCCAACTATCTTGGGTCCTCATTTTACTGACCTCGGAAGGATGGAAGGCTGAGTCAACTTTGAGTCCCATCAGGATCAAACTCATAGCTGTGGGCAGAGTTTACCTGCAATGTCAATGAACTTACGTACTTTTCATATTCATGTTATTTTTTTAATATTTCCTTTCTTTCTAACAATCTTGTTATTTGTGTTACTTACCTAAATCACTAAAATATATATTTCATTGTTGTGTTATTATATTTAGTTGTAATTTTGTGTTTTCTGGTTCTATAAATTTTTATCTAGTTATATCTTATAGTTCAAATAGTCCTTATTGGATTGATTACAAATTTTGGTGTGTAGTATGAAAAGAAGAAATTTTATAGGGCCACCCAAATCACTCTCAATGACTCCGGGCAGCTTAAAAAGATAGAGACTTACAAAGCCAATGTAAAAACAATAAAAAAAATCAATAACCACTACACTCCTGGGGACAACAATCAATCAAATAGTCCACTTGATGGACTCAATCCCACTCTCAATCCCAGATCTATGATGAGATTCATTTTTTTTTTTTACTACCGGTTCTGTGGATGTGGCTTGGTGGGCGTGGCAGGGGAAGGATACTGTAAAATCTCCAGTCAGAGGAGATATTTGCTGGTTCTCCAAACTACTCAAAATTTCAGCTACCAGTTCTCCAGAACTGGTCAGAACCTGCTGAATACTACCTCTGTCCCAGAACCATTGGTAAACCAAGTTTTCAGGGCCTTGCAAAAGATACTTTATATTTATTCCCATTTTGCTATTTCCTTTGACCATGCAATGTGTAAAAAAAAGAAATCTAACAAAGAATAAGATAAAGGAATTATAATCATGAGACAAGAAAAGGAAATGTAACTAAATCTGGTTTACACCAAAAACATTCTGTGTATGTGTGTTCTCCATAATTTGACTTGCAATCATTGCAAATCAACTAGCTTTCTGTTCTTTCTGGTGCCATGTGTCAGACATGGTTTTATGTTCTTGCAATTTCTCTCTTTGACTTTCTCAATCTTCTCTTTCTTCTCTCCCCATTTATTCTCCCTTCTTGAGTTTGTTTTGATTTTGATCCTTATCATAGTAAGATGTCAACAATTCTTTAGTATGGCTACAAAGATAATCACCAGTACAAAGCAAATTTGTTCAGGTCGTTATTCTCTTCGTATCCGAACTACAGCAGGGGTCTCCAACCTTAGCTGGCTGAGGAATTCTGGGAGTTGAAGT